CTCTCTTGCAGCCTTTCAGATTCTCTCTTTGTCTTGTACATTTGCCATCGTTATTATGACGTGTCTTGGTGTGGGTCTTTTGGGGTTCATCTTGCCTGGGACTCTCTGTACTTGTGTAACTTTTTTCTTCCCCATATCTGGGAAGTTTTCTGACATTATTTCTTCAAATAGATTTTCTAATCCTTGTTGCTCTTCTTGTCCTTCTTGCAGCCCTATTATGCGTATGTTACTTCGTTTCATGTTTTCCCGCAGCTCCCTTAGGCTCTCCTCCTGCTTTTTAATTTTTTTCTCCAGTTGCTGTTCAGATTGAGCTTGTTTCTCTGCCTTATCTTCTAATTCACTAATTCGGTCCTCTGCTTCTTCTAGTCTGCTGTTGAAACTTTCCATGGTGTTTTTGATTGTAGCTATATCAGTTTTCATTTCTTCCTGATTCTTGCATAGGTTGTTGATTTTCTCATCCATCTGGTGAGTGAATTGTACAACCATTATTCTGAATTCTTTTTCTGTCATGTTGCATGCTTCAACTTCATTAATTTCCTTTCTTGGCAACTCCTCATTGTCTTTCCTCTGGGTGTTGTTTCGTCTCTTCATTCTGATTATCTCCCGATGGTTCAAACGTCGAGTTGTGTGGGCCTGGGCCGTGTGCAGTGGGAGCCTCCCACCACCCTAGTGTCACTGAAGAGCTCTGACACTAAGACGTGTGGTTGTTGTGGGTTGGTGGGAACCAGGCTCGTTCAGAGTCAGCGTTGTCAGCGCTCAATGTGGCCTCTTACGCGCCCTTAGAAACAGGGACGCTGCCTGCACCTTGCTGGAACAGAGACCCCCCTGGAGCGTGTTGAAAATCAGAGCCCCCTAGCGTGCACCAGGAGTCAGAGTTCCCCAAGAATCCAGTATCAGTGTCTCTGTTGCTTCGTGCGACCTTGCCTTGAGAACCAGGGTCCCTGTGTGCCATTGCACCAGGAATTGGAGTCACTGGCTCTTAGTATGAATGCACAGGGAGTCAGGATCTCAGGTGCAGGTGATAAGAAACACTGTCAAGTTACTGGTGCTTGGTGCTGCCTCCTGCCCAGAGAATCGGGTCCCTGGGCCTGTGCTACAGGGGACAAATTCCCAGTGTTCGTTCGGTTGCTCCCAGCCCAGGGCTCCTGGAGCAGGCAGTGAGATCAGGACCAGATCCTGGTGTTCGCGGGATTGCCGCCAGCCCAGGGCTCCGAAGCCGGTCCTATGCGGGATCATTTCCCAGGTGCTCTCGCACTTCCAGGCTAAAATTCCTGGAGCGCTGAGGCCCCGGAAAGGGGTGGGTCTATCAGTTAGTTACTCTGGCGCTGCCCACAAGCCTGCGGGAAGGGGGGATGGGCTCTGTTACTCATGGATCTGCTGCGGGGATTTCTGAACTTTTGGTGTCCGCAGGTCTGTAGCTGTGGTCACAGGTCTCTGTCCCCAGTGGCTGTAGGATCCTGGTATGCGACTGAGATCAGACTGGGTGGTGCTAAGGCCAGGTTCCTAGTCTCAAGCAGCTCTGTTTCCCAAGATGGCATGGTCGCCCTGCCTGCGCTGGCCTCCCAGGAGTGTCCGTGCAGGGAGCGGGACTCCGCCGCCTAAGCCTGCCCAGTTTAGCAGCCCCTTAGAAGACCTGCAGAATCTAACTGTCCCTAGCACATACACACACACTACACACGTCCACACACTCCTCTGTCACTTCCTTGCCCTCTCACACTCTCTCCTCCCTACCTTCCTGCTGGTCGCCATTTTCTCCTCCTCCTGTATTGCATATTTGAAATTTGCTAAGAGTAAAGATCTTAAAAGTTCTTATCACACACAAAAAAAATTGAACTATGTATGGTGCCGTATGTTAACTAGACTTATTGTGATCATTTAACAATATATATAAATATAGAATCATTATGTTGTACTAGTATAATGTTATATGCCAATTATACCTAATTTTTAAAAAATGTAATGCTGCCATATCTGGCCTGGGAAATCAGACAATGCATTTTCTGTGCATTCAGCAAGTAATTTCCTATTACTGTGCATACCCCACTGAAGAACTGAACTTTTCAAGTCCAAAAAAACCAGGGTATTTAGGGCCTTCTCCAGTCTAGTCCATGGCCTATTATTGTTCAAAATCATTGAACTCACACCAACCTTAACTGGTTATCCAACTGCCCTGCTTTTTCCCACTTCTATGTCTTTGCTCACTATAGAGCAAACTGTAGAACTCTTTCCCAAAGAGTTCTCTCCATTGGTACATTTTCTTTCTTCTGTACTGTTTAAAACCCTTCCACCATTCAATGCCAGACCAAATACCACCTCTTCCATCTTACTTTCCCTCAAGATAGCAGATGAAGGGTATTTCTCTGGTTTCTGAAGTCCAATAGACTATTTTGCACTTTGGATCTAGTCTTTAGGGGTTCCCTTTCTGAATAAAGGAAAATAATTTTGCCATTGCAAGGGATAATACAGACTGATCAGTGGCATGTGAAGAGCAGAGCCAGCCTCAGGCTCATGGCAATGCCAGGAAGGAAGGGAGGGAGAAAGGGAAGAAACAGGGAGGGAAGAAGGAAGGAAGGAGAGAGAGGTCAAAAGGGGACAGGGAGAGATGGAGAGAAGGAGGGAGAGAAGGGGCCTTGCTCACCTGAAAAGGTTAAGATTTTTCTTTTTCAGAAGCTGGTGAATGTGGTAGGAGCTGTGAGGGAGAGACTAGGTTATCATCTGGTATCAATGCTAATAAGAGAGTAAAGGCCAAGGGAGAGATTTTACTCCAGGAACAGTGACATCACCTCTGCCTCCTCCTCACACCTCCTAAGGAAGATTGTCTCAGAGGATTCATCATCAGAATTTGAGATGATCCTTTCCACCCCCTGGCCTGTTGTCTGGATGGGAATGGTTAGACCTGGGGAGTGGAAGGGACTAAGACACCAGGCCTTGAAGTTGTCTCTGCCCACCAGCAGCACAGGCAACTGGAAATATAATAGCTAATAACATGGGCACTTAACTTAGTCAGGGTCTCATTCTGCTCGTTTGGGAAATGGGGCTAAGAATTTCAGCTCTCCCTCTCTGTCTAGAATTTGGTATGCTCTTACATTTTCCTCAAGTGCAAGTCTTCTGAAATTCCACATGCTTTCATGGGTCAACCAGAGAATGTGTCCCAGATACCACAGGGGAGGCTACCCTGGCCAGGCCCATTTGAAAGGTACACTTTCACAGGGGCCTAGAGCAGATGGGGTTGGTGAGTTTGACTCCTAATCCCCAAGGGCCTTGAATGGGAAGGACAAAGCCAGGAGAACTCACCTGTAAGAAGATAGATGGGGATGTCTGCCCTGAAGCCCTTTGTCTATGCTTACAGCCCAGTCCTCCAGTTCTCTTGCTCCTTGGTGATAAACAATTGCACTGCTCTCCAAAATACATAAGAATGAAAGTGTGGAAGTTGAGTGTGGCAAGACCTTGGAGATAGATGTCCAGTTCTCTTGCCTTCCTTCCTAAAGTCTCTCAGGCACTAGGAACTAGGGAGAGTGGAGGAGGTAAGAGGTAGGAGACGCAAGTCAGTTCAAGCCCCCATTCCCTGCCTCCCTTCCCCAGTGATAGATCATGATGCGGGGAGTGGGGGGAGGCTGTCAAGGCAGCTCCCATGAAAAGCTCTGAACATTTATAGTGTTTCCCAAAGTACAGATGATCTGGGCTCTCCTCCTTCATTCCTTCATATTGTGTCTCTTTCACTGCACATTCACATCTCCATGCAGGTATCATGCAGGAGAAATATAAGAAGGTACTGTAGAAGGATAAAGAGTTAGCAAAATGAAGCTGCTTGGATTTGAATTTGCATAGTTATCTGTGTTGGATATGTTTTCCTCCTTCCCCTGCTTTTCTCCACATCATAGGGGACTGACAGTGATTTCCAGAATCCCTCATCAATCATCTTCTGGCTGGGTACAACCAATGGGAACACTGGTGGGAGGGTAGGAAAAATGGAGAAGCCAGGGTATTTAGCCTTTTTGCTTCTGGTGGTGTCTGCTGTGTATAATCTATGGCTCTGACTGTCATTATACTTCCAATTCTGCTGTGTGACCCCAGCTACTGACCCAGATCACACTATCTCCTTCCACTGTTCCTTCACTGCTCATCTTCCCCTAATCTGCCTTATATTTCAAGGGGCTAAACCCTGTGGGCTATGTTTCCCAGGCTCTCATATTAGTTCACTTCCAGTTTCCCCCAATGAGAGAGACACTTGAGGCAGATTAAAGGGCAAGAATGGGGGAAAGGAGAAGGTATTTCTTCCTTTCCTGTGGTTTGAGCAACATCTCTTTTCAATGGTTCTAGCACCTGTGGACAGGCTTTTGATTCCACTTTCCATCAGGTGACCCCTGTCCCTGGACTCTGGACATACTTTCCCCCTCACCCCTCCAGCTTAGGGATGGTTTTGGGCTCCTGGTTCCACTAATGTCTTGGTTACCTTCCCATTCTGCTCAGATTCTCTGCCTATCAGCTATGTAACCAGTTTCTTTTCTGCATTACATTCTGTCATAAATACTTGGTAGTTTATTTTCCCAGTTTGATCTTGATTATAAATTGGACTAGTGGGAATGCAGCCAATTATTTAAGGTTAATGAATGTGGGGCTCCTTGGTCACTGACTCAAAATAATAGGGAATTGGGTGACAGCACCTAAAAAGGTGTCTTGCAGCAGCCAGAGAAATGGAGTCAGGTACAGGGCTGAGCAAGCTTATGCTACCCTTCCACCTAGTTTAATTCTTCAGGACTTTGCTACTAGAACAACACAACTCCAAATTCTCTCGAGAATGTTGGTGGGCAAGTGTGGGCCATTGAGTTAGTTTTCACTTTTTATCTTACACTGGTCAGAACTCCTGCCTGTCAAATGCCAGACCATTACCATCCTTCCTCATGGCCAACCAGACCACTACCCCCAATAAACAACCCCCTCTACACACACACAACAGACACCAGAATTTATTTTGTAAGTTATTTTATTGTGGAGGATAATACAGGAAAGCAGCTCCAAATGAGTGGGAGGAGCTGTAGTGCTCTTCAGTTATCTGGGTCCTCGAGATATTTTGGAGATATCATGGGTTTCTGGGTAGGTTGCAAGATTACAATTGGTGTTTGAGGTAGCTAATCAAAACAGGGGGAATATCCAGCTGGTCAATGGCTTGTGGCTTGTTGGCCTGGCAGAAAGCTCTGCGGATAACTATACGGGCCTGCGATAGTAGTGTTCGTGGAGTGGCTGCAGCAAAGAGAAACAGGTCATGAGAAGCAATCCTCAGGGCAATTCTCCCACCCAAGGCTACATTCACACTGCCCTTGCTCCTGTAGCCCTAAATGTTCTCTTCCTTTTAAGAAATGTCCCCCACCCTCCTTTCAATGTACAGCACCAATAGGGACACACTGAGGACTAGAGAGGGCAGTGCCAAAACACGATACCAAGCTACTTCTATCTTTCTACCTTATCTTAGTGATCTTGACCCTAATAAGGAATATGTAACCTCTTCTACACTGGGGCTCCAGTAGAGGAGGAAGATGGTGTTTTCTGCAATTCATCTCAGAAGGGTTGGCTTGGGGATAATTTGGGGCCCTGAGACCTTCATACCAGGACCCCTATAGGACTGGTCTGCTTGACACTCACCTCGGGCCTGTAGCAGTAAGATGGTGCCTTTATCATTTTTCCTGTCCAGGTCCAGTGGGACAGATGGAAGGTATATGTTAGCACCAAAATCAATTAACAGCTGAATGTACTCGGGATCACAATTATGGTGGAGGCAGATTTCAAGGAGGGTGCGTGGCTGTGGGACACGAGCTAATAGGTACTGGTCGGTACAATTGTAGTTAGGATCTGCCCCATAGAGCAAAAGCAGGCGGAAACAGTCAAGGTGCCCATAGACTGCAGCCAAAAAAAGGGGACCAGAAAATGAAGTTATGTTTGACACCCAGACTGGTAGTTTAACCTTGACATTTGGATCTGCACCATGGCCTAGGAGCTCCTGCAGGATGCCAACAGCACCATCACGTGCGGCTGTGAGTATGGGAGAGCAGTTGTTGTAGACACTTCCACTAGGACAGGCTCCAGCTTCCAAAAGCTCACGCACGCAATCCAGATGGCCATGGCTGACAGCGGTAAAAAGTGGTGTCTGTGCCTTGATATCCAAGCTATCAACGTCAGCACCATGGGCCAGGAGTACCTGCAAACAATTAAGGTGGCCATAAGCAGCAGCCAAGCGCAGGGGTGTCCCAGGAACACCCCAGCCACTCCTACTATTGATGAAACGTTTGTAACACTCTTGCCGCAAAAGCTGGTCCAAGGTATAGGAGTCATTTCTGTGTACTGCTTCACGGAGAGCCTGCTTCTCCCCTGTGTTTGTGTCCTCTTCTTCCTTGTCAGGCTGCAAGAGGGAGAAGATTTTGCTGATGTCCATGAAGTTCATGTTGGCTTATTAGAGCAGAACCATTCTCATTATGAAGAGGAGAATATGCCAGATCTGTGGGTGCCAAAAACAGGAGACTGACAATCCCCATCAAAAGCCTGGATACCAGCCCTTGCCCCTCACCCTTCACCGTCAGGCTCTTCACTTATGGGTCCCCTGCTTATAATACCTACTCTATCCTATTTCAGGCCATGGAGATGGCTGCCAAAACAGATGACATATTTTCACAGCTTGGTGTCTTTGCCTTTGCTGTTCTGCCTGCCCTTCAAATTCCTACTTCTGGGAAGCCCTCCCTAATCTCCTCCTCTGCTCAGGGTTTCCAAAGGCTCATAAGTAGACTTCAACTATGAACTTTCTCACCACATTTTCACCTATATGGGCTTCATTACTGTGTAAACTCTAGGTTGAGAACCCCTGTATTCATCTTGTATTCCTCCATTTCCAGTAGAATACACATCATGGCTGATAATTTGGTAGATGCATCTTCTTTAGTTTAATATGTGGGAACTAAAGATGTGGCCTAGTTCTGGCAGTTGCTAGGCCAACAGAATGGTGCTTTGTGATGTAAGCTCTCATCCCTGAGCATTCTTATATAAATTCTATCCCTTAGCCTTGTAGATAAAGGTCAACCTCTTCACAGTCCCCCAGACTCATGCCCCATGCTTCAGACAACAAAGTTACTTAGGAAATAGATGGAGAGTAACATTTAATGATTAAATAAAGAGGTGGCATTACAAAGAGTACACTTCAAGTAAAATTAAGACAAAGGGATGGCAGGAAATAGTTGAAGTTTCCAGGGCAAGTCCTCTTCTCTGGTGACAACTGGATTCTGCCCCAGGACCACTTCAATCCAGGAGTCCCTTTGATTGTCAGCACCTTCTTGAAGTCCATGGCTTCCCCATACCTCTGTGTCAAGCCTTTTCCCATAGTCTGTGCCCCACCTAGCCTAGAGCCCTGCCTCAACCCTCAGCTCATCTCTCTATATTATCTCCAGACCTTATGAAATCACTCATGGCACAATAACTGACTCAAACTAACTCTTTGACCTTAACAATCTTGTTTCTAGTGTTCCAAAGTCAAAGTCACCCAACTCCATTTGTAATGTCATCAGAATATGATAGTTTTTTCAGAACCTGAGTCTCCCTACTCTCCCATAACCTGTAGCCATGGTCTCAGGGACACACACTTCCTTTTATTTACTATCCACTTCCACCCCACTTTTTTAGCCTGGGACCTCAAGTACACACCTCAAAAAAATCTAGGTGGGTTGGTGGGGTCTCCCAGGTGGGTGAGGTTTCCCTCAACTTTAGAACCTTTCCTACTCACAAGCATCAACTTCATACATGGTCTTATTATTTATTTATTTCAGGGTGAAATTATAAGAAGAGAATTTTAGAAATCAGGCAGACCTAAGCTGGAAACTTAGCACCCCCATTTCCTAGCTGAGTAACCTTGGGAAGGACTCTTCCCTTCTTTGGTACTTATCTACAAGATGGAAATGATTGTCCCTGCCTCATGATTCTGTTAAGATGAAGAGAGCTACAATATGTTAGGTCTTTGAAGATGAACTTCCTCTCTTTGCACCTTCAACCTCCTCACTGGCTCCTCCCCCTCAACCATCTTAGGAAACAAAACAAAATACTTATATGGTCATTTTTCCCAACTAGATACTTTCCTTCCTTTTTATTCTTCATCCACATATCCAAAGAGTTATCTACTGTCTACTTTCCCACCTCTCATTCCCTTCTCTACAATCTTCAATCAGATACCATCTACCCTCAATCACATACTGAGATAGTTCTCTTTAAAAAGTCACCCTGTGGTTAAATCTACTGACTGCTTCTCAGATCTTTCCTTCTCAGACTTTTCTGGGACATCTTTCCTCACTGACCACTTCCTCCTACATAGTCTTCTCTTGGCTTCCTGGTAAGCACACTTTCCTGATTTTCTCCCCTCATTTCTCCCCTGATAGTTATGTTTCCCTATTTCTCTCCTTAATCCTCTTCTTTCCAGCCCCATAGTTGTAGCTCTCACATTTATTCTGATGGTTTCAAGTCTATCACTCTAAACTCTCTCTTTGGCAAAAAGTATGGCCAGTATATTTATTCACTGAATTTCTTCAGGCACTTCGAAGTCAGCAGTATCACACCACTACCACAAAACTTGTTCCATATCTCAGTTCCTTACATCCATCTGGTCAACCAAACCAAAAACCCAAGACTCATTTCAGTCCTTTTATCTCATTGTCCCACTCCCATCCAATTGGTTATCAATTCCTGTGGATTTAACTTCCTAGAGACATCTATAGTCCACTGCTGTCAGGCCCATCCCCATTGCCAGTATTTTGTTTAGGCCCTAATCATCTTTTGCCTCAATTGTATAGTAATCTCTTAGCGCAGTGATGGCGAACCTATGACACGCGTGTCAGAGGTGACACGCAAACTCATTTTTTGGTTGATTTTTCTTTGTTTAATGACATTTACATATATAAAATAAATATCAAAAATATACATCTTTGTTTTACTATGGTTGCAAATATCAAAATATTTCTATATGTGACACAGCACCAGAGTTAAGTTAGGGTTTTTCAAAATGCTGACACGCCGAGCTCAAAAGGTTCGCCATCACTGTCCTAGCTAGTTTCACATTTCAATATTTTCTCCACATTGTGGCTAAAATGATTCCTTAAAGATATACATCTTATTAGCCTGGATGCCTTAGCCTGGCTCAGAGGTCCCTTATGGGAAATTCTTGACCCACATCTCCAGCCTTACTTTCTACCAATCCTCTACTTATACCTCAGGATTCAGTGATAAGAGAAGAGAAATGATGGATCTCCATAAATATGTTTTCTTCCGTCACATGCATTTTTTTCTGATGGATTAGTTTCTTCAGAGTCTGTGCTTTTATACCACTATAGAAGTCATCACACTGCATTATAACTCCTTCTATATGGGTCTCTTTTGCTCCCATTGCCAATTGAAAGGCCATATAATGTAGTGGTAAAACATGGTCTGACATTCTGCTTTAATCCCAGATCCACCACTTAGTAGCTGTGTGACCTAAGGCAGATCACTTAATCTTCCTGTTCCCATTTCTTAATCTGTATAAAGGGGACGATAGTAGTACCTGCCTTAGAGGGTTATTGTTAGGAATAAATGAATTAATACATATTAAGTGTTTAGAATAGCACTTGAATGTAGTACTCAGTATTTTTACTGTGATGTTGTTATCACTTCAGTCTTCTATGACTATTGGTCCCTACCTGAAGTCCCATAATTTCAGAGCTGTAATGCACCTAATAAATCATTTAATTAAAATTGTTAAATCTACAGATGAGAAAACCAAGGCTCATAGGAGAGCAGATATTTTTCCCCAAGGTCATATGGATGACATTGTCAATTATTTAATTAGCAAAATACCCAGAATATACCTATAATCTTGTGATTTTCAAACTTATTTCACCACAGTGGAAGAGGAAATACTGTATTATCCCCATTTTGTGGGTGGAGGAAACTGAGACCTGAAAAGATAAGGGGTTTGCCAGATGCCTTACAACAAGGCAATACCAGAGCCAGAAATAGAATACAGGCTTCCCTACTCCCCATCATGTTTTTCTATTGCAACTTGGAAAAATGAACACATGACTCTCTCCCTTGCCACAAGCAGATTCATATTGCAGTTCCCAGAATCCTAAGCTTTGAGGGCTATGCTGAATTCCAGGGACTTCATTCATGGAATGTTTCTTTACAAATCATTTTTTTCTGACAGACAGAAAGGATGTCCTTCTTAATATTCTGGAGGTGGGGCAGGAGTTGTGTTCAGGGAGATGGAGAAGGCAGGGAGTGTGGAGGAAAATTTGAAGCTCTCACCAAGGTCATATCATGAGCCCACAGCAGGGTCTATCTAATGAGCCTCTAGAGCAGCAGTTCTCAACCTGTGGGTTGCGACCCCTTTGGCGGTTGAACGACCCTTTCACAGGGGTCGCCTAAGACCATCCTGCATATCAGATATTTACATTACGATTCATAACAGTAGCAACATTACAGTTATGAAGTAGCAACGAAAATAACTTTATGGTTGGGTCACAACATGAGCAACTGTATTTAAAGGGCCAGAAGGTTGAGAACCACTGCTCTAGAAGGAAATCAAGCCATGGCTCCCAGCTAGCTTGAGCACTTGAGTAAATTGTGCCTTAATAGATGGGATAACAAACTTTAACTACTCTGCTTGTTTAACCTCACCTTGTTGTGTTTTATTAATCAATGTTATTATGTGATCTTTCTATACAAGGATTTCCTTCCTGATCTCCAAAGTGCCAGGGATTTCAAGTGTGTGTGTGTGTGTGTGTGTGTGTGTGTGTGTGTGTGTGTGTGTATGTGTGTGTGTGTGTATGTTATTGGCCTCTGTGGAAATCTGGTTAAATCTCTGGTCCCATTTCAGAATGAATTTTAATATATAAAATACAATACATAGGATTAAAGGAAACAAATTATATTGAAATACAGCTATTAAAATATTTTTAAAACTGCACGATATAGTAATAAATGTTCCTTATAAACACATTAAATAACAAGATCTAATAATTTCTATATTGGTGATAAGCATAAATGAAAATTCCAGAAATCTGCCACAGTTGCCACTGCTCTTGCCTCTATGCAAAGCACTGGGCCCTGGTGGTCCCTCCTTGGGGAGACCCTACATAACTGTAATATGAAATGTCTTCACTTTTTCTCATGACCAAGTTACATGAATTAGTAATACTATTGCCATTTGCTGCCCACATTCATCCTTGAAAGAAATGGTAAATTTCTAGTTGGAGATTTGGGGGATAAAAGGTAATTGTTTGTCCCATCTATGTTTTGGATCCTTTAAATTCTAAGGCCCTCTTGAAAGTATATTATTCCAGTTTAAGAGCTCATAATGGAGAGTGGCTAGTTTCTGTGGGCCCTAGAGGAATCCCCCGGGCACTATTAGACTATTTTTAAGACTCATCTTCCTCCCCACATCCTGAGGAGCTCTGTCTGCCCTTCTGCCCTGAGATCACCCTGCTGCATTTCCACACAGACTCACAAATACCACACAAGGACATAAAGACAAATAGAAAAACTTCCTGAGTTGTACAAGGGCAATTTATCTAAGAAGTAGGTCTATTTGTACCCCAAAGCTTAGGCAACACATCCCCTTAGGGCAGACACAGCAGGTAGCATCATTGTATCCCTGGTTCCCTCTGCAGGCAGGGTTCCCTATAGAACTCCCAAGTACCCCCAGAAACCAGACCCAGTAGGAACAACCCATGAGCCTGCAGGTTCACTAATCCATGGAAGTGTTGTGGGATCCTAGGTTCCAGGTACTTACCGGGCTTCTGCCTGAAACTGCACTGCCCACAGTTGCCACCGCTCTTGCCTCTATGCGAAGCACTGGACCCTGGTGGTCCCTCCTTGGGGAGCCCCTACTGCCCCAAAGCTGGGTCAGGACAGACTCTCAGTTCCCACTGTTAACACTGCCTGAAGGCTAGGTGTTAGCCCCTGGGCTGACTAGGTCCAGGGTGCTAATTTTAGGCTGCCCTCCACCCCCCAGGGCCGTGTTATCTTACTAGTGTCATTCTGGGAGTGATCCCAGCCAGAGGAGGTGGGGGCATCCACAGGGAAGTCCTGGAAGGACTGACTGACAGATAGACAGGTGCCTGGTGAGGCCAGGGCTCAGGCCCCTAGTGTTTCCCTGTGTATCCCTTTCCCACCATTCAAGTGGGCTACACGGCTAGACCCCTGAGCTTCCTTCCTTTGGGCCAGACCTTCCTCTGTGTAGGGATCTCTTTTCTCTCCCTAACTTAGCCTTGCTGTATTTCCTTTTACTTTTTGAAGGTCCATCAACACATCCCCTTTCCCTCCCCGTACCCCCACCTTCACTCCCAAGAGAGAGGAGGAATGGAGAGATTTCCATACTGAAATTTGTATTAGTAAAGTTTTCTGAAGTTTAATAAGGTCCTGATAATTTACAAAGACCTCTCAGTCCACTAACACTCCAGGCTCAGCCTGAAGAAAATGCCCACAGCCTTCCCACTCTTCTCACACTTAAGGCATCTAACCAGATGAATGTGTCCAGAACTGGGAACTTTGTAAAAGCTCTGCTCTTAATAGTATCAGTTTATCTCCTTGGTTGACTTTAAATGAAGTAGTAAGGAGATACCTTTAGAAATAGTCACATTATCTATATTAGGTGTGACCCAAAAAGAAACTGGGAGCCAGCTTCTGCTTTTATCTGGGAGGAAAAGTCAGCCTAGTATTTGGTATATAGACTACACCACAGATAATCTGGTCAAGCTGAGAAACTCAATTGAGAAACTATCAAGCAACCACTATGTGTAAGGTTCTAGATGCAGGAAGAATATAAATAAAAGTAGGATATGGAGTTCCTGAAAGAGTTTGTAGTTTATTAACACAAACATACATAGAAACAATTATATTTCACATACTACAAAAATGCCAGAATTAAAAGTTGCTTATAGTTACCTTGTGTTCATTTTAATTCCCCAATTAGCCCAGGGGATTATTGCAAAGTTCCGTGTCCCTAAATGCCACCAAAAACAGTAATACCTTGACTTTTCCTGCAAAGAGATGCCAGTCTATACAGAACACTTGTCCCAAGACATCAGAGTCCTCTTTCCTTTCTAATCACCAGGGAAGAGAAGGTTCCAGTCAGGGAAAATGAAAAGCCAGTGAGGGACCAGAGAAGTTTTGGGATAAAGCACTAGCAGCCCTATTTCACATGACTACTTTGGTATTAGAATCTAAACATAAATTCTAATTAGAAAGGGATTTTTCACATTTATGAGAAATGTTCAATGACTTCTGTTTAAATGCTTCCAATATTAGGGTACTCTCTTCACCCAGAAGCAGCACATCTCATTATTACACATCTCAGTTAGTCCTTTTTACTACTAAGCCTATATCTGCATCTATGCACTCCTGAGGTTAACTGTTGATCTCATCTTCGCTCACCCTTAAGACCTCAGAAAACACAGTAACTTTCATTGCCCCAAAACAAGCCCTTTAGGGGCCTGACCTCAGGTATTCTATCCTTCATGTCACCTTATCTCAGGAAAAGCAGTCCAGCTCCTTCAACTATTTCTTTCAAGCTACTACCTATTCAGTCCCTTCCCCAGTCTTGTCGACCACACACATGAAGTGATCACATATCCTGCTTACACATTGATAGCACAAGGGAGTGCATAGTAGAACAGATTACTCCTTTGGAAAATGTCAGTGTCCCAGTGAAGTCAGTGATTCTGAGATCAAAAACATAAAACAAAAACAAAAACAAAACATGTCTGCTTCAGTTTAGTTTGAGCCAAGGACCTATAGCTAGCTGTTCATTATCTGAAGCCTCATGCAAACCTCATTAGCAGCCAATAAAGTGTTATGATGTTAAAGGTGACACAGTAGGGCATAATCCTTTAAAAAAAAGATTAGTAGGATTTTTAACAGCAATTTTTATGAGATAAAAATGTCTATTCACATGCAGTTGTAAAAATAACACAGAGATCCCCTGTATACTTTACCATTTCCTCTAATGGTTCTTGAGTACACCACCACAAGCAATATACAGAATAGTTCTATCACAATAAGGATAACTTATGTTGCCTTTTATTCATTTTTAGAGAAGTAAAATTAGAGGGAGAGAGGGAGAAAGAAAGAGAGAGCAAAATATTAATGTGAGAATGAAACATCGATCAGCTGCCTCCTGCAGGACTCCTACCAAGGATCAAGCCTGGGACCCAGTCATGTGCCCTGACTTGGAATCAAACCAGCAACCTTTCTGTGCACAGGATGAGCCACACTGGCCAGGGGTCATGTTGCCTTTTAATAGCCATATCCACTTCCTTCCCACTCCTCCCACTTTGGTCCCTAACTCCTGGCAACCTCTAATCTGTTCTGCATTTCTATAATTTTGCCATTTCAAAATCTACACTACTAAAAGACAAACATGCAAATTGACCGTACCTTTGCTATGCCTTAAGCCATGCCCACCAGCCAATCAGAGCGACTATATGCAAATTAACCCAACCAAGATTGCGGCTGGCAGCCACGAAACTGGAGCAAGCAGGAGGCTTGGTTGCCCCAATGATGGAGGAAGCCAAGCTTCCCGCCTGCCATGGCCAGCTCTGAGCTCCACTCAAAGCAACAAAGTTTCAATTATAGAAGGTAAATAAACCCCAGATACCTGCTTTCAGCCAGCCATGGCTATGGAGCTGGAGTGAGCAGGAGTGGGTTGCCCCTGGTGATGGAGGAAGCCAAGCTTCCTTCCCACCCGCCCTGGCCGGCTCTGAGCTCCTCTCAAGGCTACAAAGTTTCAATTATAGAAGGTAAATAAATCTCAGAATAAAAAAGAAGAAAAAAGAAAAAAAGGAGTGGCTGGGAGGTTCCATTGCCGGGGGCTTGGCCAGCCTGAAAATGGCCCTTGGCCCCTCACCCAGACTGGACAGGCACCCCAGTGGGGACCCCCACCCTGAAGGGGGTGTGACCAGCCTACAAACAGCCATAAGCCCCTCACCCAGGCTGGCCAGGCACCCCAGTGGGGACCCCCACCCTGAAGGGGGTGTGGCCAGCTGCAAACAGCCATCAGCCCCTCACCCAGGCTGGCCAGGAACCACAGTGGGGACCCCTACCCTGAAGGGGGTGTGACCAGCCTGCAAACACCCATCATCCCCTCACCCAGGCTGGCCAGGCACCCAAGCGGGACCCCCACCCTTATCCGAGACACCCTACAGGGCAAACCAGCTGGCCCCCACCTGTGCACCAGGACTCTATCCTATATAATAAAAGGGTAATATGCAAATTGACCCTAACAGCAGAAAGGCTGGGAATTACTGGTCACTATGATACACACTGACCACCAGGAGGTAGATGCTCAATGAAGGAGCTGTCCCCTGGTGGTCAGTGCGCTCCCACAGGGGAACTCTGCTCAGCCACAAGCCAGGCTGATGGCTTCCAGTACAGCGGTGGTGGTGGGAGCCTCTCCTGTCTCCTCAGCAGCGCTAAGGATGTCAGACTAAAGCTTAGGCCTGCTCCCCGCTGGCAAGTGGACATCCCCTGAGGGCTCCCGGGCTGCCAGAGGGATGTCTGATTGCCAGCTTAGGCCCAATCCCCCGGGGAGCGGGCCTAAGCCAGCAGGTGGGTCCCAGATTGCGAGAGGGCACAGGCCGGGCTGAGGGACCCCCTCCCCCCCCCCGCCCCCGAGTGCACAAATTTTTGTGTACCGGGCCTCTAGTTATATAAATAAAACCATACTTTTAGAATTAGCTTTTTTCATCCAGCATGCACTGGAGAGTCACCCAAGTTGTTGCATGTATCATTTTGTTGTTGTTACTGAGTGGGATTCTGTGGTATGTATGTCCCATAACTTGTTTAACCACTGTCTGGTGAAAAAACATCTGGGTTGTATTTAGTGTATACATTTTAGAATAAGCTTGTCTATGTCTACAAAAAAAAAAAAAAACACCTTGCTGAGATTTGGGTAGGAATGTATACATCAATTTTGGGGAAATTTACTGCTTTATTGTGTTGAATCTTCCAACCATGCATATGGCATGTTTTTCCATTTATTTAAGTTCTAAATTTCTTTCTATGTAGTCAATCATGTCATTTGTATATAGCAACAGTTTTATTTCTTCCTTTCCAATATGTATGCCTTATTTATTTTCCTTGCCTTACTGCAATGGCTAGAACTTCCACAAGTATGTTGAATAAGAGTGGTAAGAGTGAACATCTTTGCCTTTTCCCAGTTTGTAGAAGATAAGCATTTAGCATTTCATCATTAGGTTTGATGTTAACTATAGATTTTTCATACATGCCCTTTTTTGGTTCATGAATTTCCCTTCTATTTGTAGTTTGCTTGAGAGTTTATATCTGGAATGAATGTTAGCTTTTTGTTGTTGTTGTTGTTGTTATTAAAGGCTTTTTCTGCATCAATTGATATGAGCATGTTATTTTTTTTCTTTGAACCTGTTCATATGTTGGAATATGTTCATTGATTTTCAAATGTTGAACTAACCTTTCATCCTTGGAATAAACTTCACTTGGTATTGGTGTACACTTCTTTTTATGCATTGTAGGATTAAGTGTGCTAATATTATGGCATGGAAATTTGCATTTAAGTTGATGAGAAATATTGGTTTGTAGATTTATTTTTTCTTCTGCCTTTGATTTTAGTATCAAGGAAGGGTAAAATGAGTTGGGAAGTATTTGCTCCTCCTCAATTCTTAGAAGAGATTGTGTGAATTCATAAGATTGGTTCCTTTAAATGCTTGGTAGAGAATTATTTAATTCTTTTTAAATTTTATTTTTTTCTTCATTGATTAAGGTATTACATATGTGTCCTTATTGCCCCATTGTCCCCCTACCCTCTCCCTACTCATGCCCTCACCCCTCTGTCGTCTGTATCCATTGGTGGTTAAGCTTATATGCATGCATACAAGTCCTTTGGTTGATCCCTC